CCGTCACTCCCAGCACGAGCACGAGTCACATTGTCATGGAAGGGAAGAGAGGAGAGGGGTAGGACAAAAGGGGGTTGTTTAATCTGAGGGGTGAGGGGTTCTTATGAAATTGTGCGTTTATCCATGGCTGAGGGGAAGAGGAGGGGGGTAGAGGGGGTTCACATCCGGCGCGTGTGTTCAGTATTGAAGGATCTTGTTCCGCTCTGCAAGCGTTCAGGTAATCCATCAAAATTTGAGACCGTGGAGCTATTATTTGCATATTATTGAGGGAAATCATTCGACCGAGTTTCTTTGTAGGCAAATAATAGTTTGAAAAATATTTTACGGACGCAAAATTTTTGGCATTGACATATGGTCAATGCCAATCTCATAACGTATGACAGTTTTCACTACTAGATACGTATAATAGCGATGACTAAATGTATCAGATAAGTAACAATGACTATGTGTAGCAGATGAATAACGTACGTCAAGTAGCAATAACTAAACGTAGCCGTTAAATAACGTACGTCAAGTATCAATAACTAAATGTAGCAGATAAATAATGTACGTCAAATAGCAATAACTAAATGTAGCAGATGAATAATGTACGTCAAATAGCAATAACTAAATGTAGCAGATGAATAATGTACGTCAAGTAGCAATAACTAAACGTAGTAGATAAATAATGTACGATGTGATGCTGTGGAACGTAGTGATGACGTGACACGTACGGGATGTTGCTGCGCGTCAGCATGCAGTCTGGCGGTTTTTGTGAAGAGGTCTGCGCTGTGACGGCCTTTCTCTCTCAGGAGTCTTGCATCCCAGCAGCATCTCCCTCTACTAAGCCACTCCACCCGCCCACTCTTCCCTTCCAGCTGCCTTTCCCTTTACCTAAGCCATTCTACCAGTCTACTCTTCCATTCCAGCAGCCTTTCCCTCTATTTTCGATTATTATTATCCATCGTAAAATATCTTTCATTCATTTGTTCTAGATTTTCATTAACAAAATTATAACTCTTATGACTTCATTTCCTCCTTTTACTTAATATTCTTAATATTAAGTAAAAACAAGTAAACCCCCCCCCTACTACGTAATATTCTTTTCAAACAAGTAACTGAATAAAGGTAATGATCGTTCTCCATGTTTTTCTTCCATCCAAGCATTCCTCGCTTCACGATTTCTACCCTTGTTTCTTCCACGCCACATCCCTTCCCTCAACCGCCAGCGCCGTGCAATATCTTTCTAATCCACCTTTTTCCCCCAACTTCCAGCTTGTTCTGCCGTTGTCACACCGGTTATATAGGAGTGACCGGCACTATACGGTCCCTGCACTGCATGCTATGGAAAAGAACCTGACATTCCCACACAAGTACTAAACATGGATAATTCTCATCATTTAAATTGGTGTTTCTTCATCAATACCATGCGTGTGCACTTGAAATGATACTTTGGTACACTAAATTTGGCATGTCAGCCCTGCCAACGCACATCACAACGCCAAACCACGCTCACCCGAACTCTGAATGTAACGAAAAATTTACGTTGTATAAACCACGCGCAGCAGACCTCTGCCCCGCGCACAAGTTTACGTAGCAGAAGCACCGTACAAACCACGCACACCAAACCCCTGCACCACGCACAAGTTTAACGTGGCACTAACCACGCACACCAAACCCCTGCACCGCGCACAAGTTTACGTAGCAGAAGCACCCTACAAACCACGCACACCAAACCCCTGCACAGCGCACAAGTTTTACGTGGTAGAAGCACCGTACAAACCACGCACACCAAACCCCTGTACATTGCAAGTTTAACGTGGCACAAAGCACGCGCACACGAAGCTTGCCCCCCGCGCTGTTGATCACAGAGCCGTCATAGGAAGATCTCATGAGAAGATCTCTATCAGTCCTGCGAGTGATAGCCCGCGGAACCCCATCTCGAAGTCTAATTGTCTGGCAGTGTGGGTCGTTAATCAGGCAGTCCGCAGCGGGGCAAGATACGCTAGTGATGGCTGCTTAGACTTTTCGTGTGAATGAAGGTTGAACGCAGTAAGGCTGGGTTGAAAATTTCGAAAGCTTTGAACTATGAGCAAATCCGTGCGCAATAAAGATGGATGCTTGCTCTTTTCGGGGAAGGTTGAAGTTCTGATTCATGGAGAAAGGTTGAAATTCTGATAGTCTAAATTCATGAAATATTCAAATTAGTAGTTCTGGTAGTCGAGATTCATGAAATATTCAGATTAGTTCTGATAGTCGAGACTATGACTGCCGCCGCCGATCGTCAGAACGGGAGGTACAAAGACGAGAATGTTGTTAAATTTTCGAGAGTAGTAGGTTTTGTACTCGGCAAGTTTAAAATTCGCCGGTAAAAAGTAATCTTGGATGTTATGGGTCTTGAAACGATGCTTTTGAAGAGGCATGATTGATTCAAGTACCCTTGAGCAACTGAGGGATGACTGACTTCTACTATTACGGAAGCTTATTACTTTTGAATGAATAAATAAAGGTTTTTAGGCATGCAACTGTTTTTAATTATTTCATGAACGTTTAATTACCAAATTGTGTTATTTTTTATTGCCAGGTTAAACCATTAAACAATAATTATTCAGTGCAACTGAAGAAGGTTGAGCAAAAATTTTCAACCCGCCACGCAAGGGCTATATGAAAAATTTCTACAAACTGCACCTCGTCAGCAATTAAAAAAATTCAATATTCACTGTGTGTTTACATGAGATGTATGCAGCAATGCTACCTCCTGAGGGATTAATTGCCCGCGCTGCTGCCGACAGCGCAGAGACGCCGCGGCTTTCATGGCCGCGTCGTGTTGTGTACGAGCTCATTTGTCCAGCCTTCGTCAGGCTCCTTCTTTGTGAGGCTACCGTCTTCAACTAACGATAAGATTTGCATTCTCTTTATTGCATCAGCTTGTGTGATTTCCATCTTATGTTATGCTCTAAGTTTTTTTTGTTTACGCTAAGTTTGAAATGTGTGTGATGTTTTGCGATGGAAGATGCGTCGTGATTTTGTGGATTTGGTAATGCCAGCTTCGGTTTTTGCTAGTTCCATTGTTGAATTTTTGATGAAGAAAGTGTACATAGAAGTGTTTGGCCAGTCATCGTGTTGTGATTTGCGTGTTGTCGGCATCACTAATATCCTTCGATGTCTTCGCTCTCTCTCAGTTAAACCAACACCAAGTGTCTGATGAACCGATCACCATTTGTCAGGCTCATGTCACTGCACACTTATGGAATAAGATTATTTTATCACCCTCATTCATATGATTTTATTCCCTGACATATGCATAGTAGGTGCCTGATTAATATACCTTCTTACATATGAAACTAGCAGCATACAGAATTGTTCTTTACATTCACTAGTGCCTCAATAAAA